TTCCCTACATTATATAAGGTATTGCACAAAACCTGAAAGCAGAACTGATTCCTAAAATCCTAACCATTAGACAGTTCATTAAGAGACTAAACACCCTTAATCCCAAATAAACACTTTCTAACGCATTAATCTAGACTGGAGATAATGAGCAAATGACAGCATCACATGAAAGAATCGAGAAGTAAGATTACTTCAAAGTTTTGAATATTATTCAAAATGCCAGACAGTGATCTGCAAACCCATTTGTATTTTTAACTGAAATTTAGAAGATCTTCTACAAGTCCAACAGAGTCCATATGCATATAAATGGATTCTCCTATAAGCATATTTCAAGTATGCAAGTTCGCATACTCCCACAGCCAAACATAGCATCAGTGCTACGTTCTTCTCAAATGGGATCAGCCAAAACCAAACCAAAAACCCACACTTACCAAATTTTTCAGAAGTTGGAGCAGACTTTGTGCAGTCATATTTAACCAGCCTTCTGCTGCACATATAAAAACGAAACCATCTTCCTTCTACAAGGTACTTTTGTAAAATTAAGTATTTACTCTCAGAACAAGTAGGGGAAACTTATGCACAGCAAATACCTGTAACAAGCCCGTGCATGACTGTCCTTTGACTTAAATACTGATTTTAGAAGCAATTCTTAGTACTTACTATACGACAATCCACAAAGAAAAGATCGTTGATCTTCATCCTCATTCTGAAAATTAATACCGGATAAGGCCATGCTACAGACTGCTGTCTTTTGAATGAGATACTTTAGTGCAGTTCACCTGCATGCCACATTACAAGAACAACTACCAACCCATTTCTAAACTCTAGTATATATGCTCAAAATACAAAGACCCCATTTGTTTTCCCAGGGAAGTACATTTTTTAAGATTCTTACACTACTGCACCTGAAATTCAACATCCATGTAAGGAAACTGTTTTAGAAGTAAGTTAAGTTATTTAATCAGGCTATCGGACAGATACTTGCTAACTCAGTTGAGTAACAAGTAACTATTTATAGTTATTAGACTATAGTATTAGACTATAATATTAGACCCATACATTAGACCCAAGTACTTTATAAAACCAAACACACCGATGGCTTACTTTTCTGTAAGCTCCTTTTCTCAGCCAGCTAGTGAGAGGTAACTTCCCAAATGCCTTCTCTACAACTCGAGATCTCACTCTGAACCTGCATCTTTCCACGGCTGAGATCAATTTTAGCAAATTCTCTGCCATTAGGCATCTATTTCTGGCAGCTTCATGGACAAGTGCTTACAACACAGAGTCTGCTAAGGCATGCCAAGACAGAGACACAGCAAGCACTGTTCTATAACATATTCTGTGTGTCAGCCCTACAGCTATACAGTGAAAGTATTGTCCAGACTACAATCTAAGCAGCGAGCTCTCCAGCCTGGCACAGACTGCTCCATAGACCTTTACCTACAGAACAATTCCAGGGATGCCCAGCCATTGCGACACACCACCACTTCCACCCATCCCGAACAGTAACCATGCAAAAAACGCCACACCAGTTACAGCTGGCATTCCAAGCAGCACTCTCCCTTCTTCTGGGAAAAAATGAATAACTTCTGTATTCCCAAGGGAACAGAGACCCGCTTCACTCCCAGCTAGAGAAGATGGTAACCAGCTAATAAAAGCTGCAACAACAACAGTAATAGCGTTATATGAGAGACACTTGCAAGCTCTCTTTCCTCTGTATCAGTAGCTGCAGGTCAAGCTCTCTTTGCCCCTGTGGCCACAGGTCCAAGCGCACCTGTCTTTGACTGGGAACCTTCGCCCTACAGGGTCTCTGCCATCTGACTGCTTAGGAATTTCTTATAAAAACCCCACTTTATATTTCAAAAGCTTTTTAATGTGTTTATTACATCAGTGATTGCTATAGCACTAGAAAAACAGAAAGTCAAGAAATACTAGTTGGTAAATTCAAGACAAGCTGAGGAACATTTTGCAACTCACTTCCCCTGCCCCACCCCTAGTTTTTGGAGCTACCAGCTGTAGGCAGAAATCAACGTTCAGCTCCACACTGCTGCAATGACCCTATACATCTATTTCTTTTGATCACGCAA